TAAGGCACGCTCGCTGCCATTATTCCAGCGTAGGGTGGAGGTAAGGCATGCTCACAGTGGAGGTAAGGCACGCTCGCTGCCATTACTCCAGGGTAGGGTGGAGGTAAGGCACGCTCACTGCCATTACTCCAGGGTAGGGTGGAGGTAAGGCACGCTTGCGATGGAGGTAAGGCACGCTCACTGCCATTATTCCAGCATAGGGTGGAGGTCAGGTGAAGATGAAGTCTATTTGCATGCTGGTCATTCCAACCTAAAATTAGTATGAGGCTTAACTGTTAGTATCCTTCCCCAATACATTTGTTAGACTGTAAATTGTACTGTTTACCTTGTCTCTGAAGATGTATGATATAATGGATGATTTCTGCTGTGTCATTGCTGGGTTTAAGCTAAGCCCACCGTAAATCTCCCTCTTCCACCAGCACCTGCTTACGTGCGAGCTGGACGGCAGGGAGGTATGCACTCTGGATGACTGCGTCACCCGCCTGCAGCTGATGGATGCCAAGGGCCAGGTCTGGGGGCAGGAGATGACGCTGGTTGTCCATGACAACAGCCTGCAGATGATCGATATTGAGACTAAGGTGGGCCGAGCAACTAAGTGAGGGGAGCAACCGATCTGTTGTGATTCAAATTCAGTTGTTAAAACTGGCTTCCATTATTGCCTCCTTCAGTGTCCTCTTGCCAACTTCCTGTCATTTGCTTCCTGTCATTTGCTTCCTGTTGTTCTCTGGGTGAAGGAAATACTCGAGTCTTTGGCTCTGGGCACCATTACAGACACAATGGCTGTGTTGGGCCGCTGTGTCTACAGCTCCCTGCTGCTGGTCGCAGTGCAAACGAGCCACCAGGGGGCGCCCTCTGTCTTCCTGTTCCAATGTGAAGAAACTGGGGTAAGAAGGATGTAACAGCTTCATGAGGCTTTGAGTTACCATTCCAGGTTATTAGTCGGGCTTTTTAAGAAAGCAGCCTGAAAGACCAGAGCAGTTACTCTAGTTCTGCCGATGAGATGAAATAAGATGAAACAAAAATTGAAGATGAACAATAGGCTATAGGAAGACTGTTTTTCTTTATATGGCTGTTCTTGTTATTCAGATGTTTATTCGCACTGATCTCCAAAGCATTTCATACCCATTTTGGTCGCACTCGCAGGCCACAAATAATGCAGTAGTCCACTGTTACTTACTGTATTAATTAATGAGAAACTAAGTGTTAGGAATATAGCCTACTGATCACATGTCCGTTCATCATTAATCAGTCATAGTGGTTTATGTATTTCATGCCATTACTATATTTGTAATATTTGTTTATTACTTATATAAATACTTATATATTATATATTTGTATATTACATGTGCCCCCTCAAGTAATGTGTTATCCCTAATTTATATAGAGATTTGACACGTGAAGTTAAGCCCAATATTTTATAACCTCATAGTTTGAGGTTGCACAGCATACAGTGGCACGGACGCCTTTTATTTTGGTGCATTTTACCTTCGCAGGCAGATTATGTCCGGATTGACTTAGAGCGGGTCATCAAACAGTGGCGGGCAAGCAAGGGACTCCAGAACAGCAAGAGGTACATTCCCAATAAGTACTGGAAGACCAGTATAACTGCAAGATCTCATATATTCTCGCCATAATGCATTAATAAATGTGCGTTCGATTTACAGTGACCGTCCAGAATCTCCTGTACCTAAGTGCACAATGACTGACAAATTAATGGAACATCCAGTCAGTTTCAGCAGAGTGCATACATGTGACCCAAGGTAATCTGATTTTTTCTTTAATTCTCCTGCACCTCACTTCCAGTACAATGACGAACTTAACACCCTGAACTGCCAAGCTGGAATGTATGCACCCATACATGTTGAAACTGTGATTAAACGATGAGGTTAACTTGTTTGTGTCCAGCTACAAGTCTGTCCACTGGTATTAAAGAGATATGAACCATAATTACTGGCTCTTGCTATTCCAGTGAGTAACATTCAGTGCTTTTCTTCATTCCTTCCAGTGCAGTATGTTTAATGTGACTTGTTTTTTTAATTCTACAAGCTGTTCTGTTCCTAATTGAATTCTGACATCAGTTTTCTTGTGTTGCCTCCATGAACTTGTCCAACAGTTGGTAAATGTTTTTCTCCAAACAGACAGAAAGATTCAGAAAGTTTTCAGGACACAAGACATCCTCTACCACAATGGCACCAGCCAGATTATGGTGAACAATGATTTGGAATCTCAATTGCTAAATTAAGCATTTCAGTGTGTGGGGTGCTGTTACCCTTTATGAAGAGAAATTTGTTTGTTGAGTTTGATGGTGCACAGGCAAGTGGTGTCTCTCTTTATGTCAACCAGAGAACAGTTACACACCCCCTGCCACAACAAGCCATGCTCAGCCCCCTCCAGCAGAAAGGGAGCCGCCCCCGCCAGTCAGATACACAGAAACTGAGAGGAACGTGGTCAGTGTCTTTATCTGTTACATGACTACGTCAGGATGCGCATCAAGCAGGCCATCTACCAAAG